TTAAATGGTTTCATTGTCTTTTTTCAATAAATAGCTTAATCTTATGTGAACACTGAACCTGTAAAGGGTCTGAAACTTCAATACAAACATGATGAAACCATTTAAAAGATGTTTCATTTATGAATAGAGCGCATGAAATTATAAGAAATCAATACATTACAATTAAATACCTTTTGAAGTGGATGGTAGACTTTCAATTATATTTTCTGTAGAGCTCAATGGTCGTTTTCTTGACTGACACTTATCTGAAAATAATAATGTACTTCGTTTTGATTCAGAAATTGAAATTCAAGAATTAGCATAAAATAATTTACTTACAACTAGATGTTGATTGGCCGTCAGATTTATTTTCCTTTGATTGCTCAACATCTGGTATGTGTTTAACTGAAAACAAAAGTCTCTTGAAAAATTAAGAACATACAAACTTATTATGGATAACGAGTTTGAAATAGCAGTCAATCTCAATCGAAATTAATGGAATGAGGAAAAGATAAATATGTAATTCCTAAAGTTTAGATAATATATCGTTAAAAAAATTACCTGGCACATTCAGAGTTGGAATTGCAATGTTAGAAAGCCTATTGTTCCGACAGTGAAATTTTTTCTCAAAATGTGCATGACACACACGACGATATTTATAAACAAATTCGTCAGGTAAATCTAGTATATGTCCACCCACAGACGATCTCCAAGATTCGAAACGCTCTGTTTCTTGTTTTGGATGAGGAAACAAGTGGAGTACAGGACATGAAACTGCAAGAGAGAAATACAATTATGTAGAAATAAGCACGGAGACAATGTTTTAGCAATAGAATCTTTAAATGGAATTCATTTACGAACCACCACGAGCCTCAGAGCACCCAGGTACACAACACATTTTGTCAGATGGCATTATGGAAGTGATAAAGAGTCCTATCTCACAATAAATAAATCAATTTCACAATCAAATATTGTAGCACTACCGGAGGAGAGAACTCGACTCAACGGATTTACATAGAAGCACGAATTTAAGACTTAAAAACAGCAGAAACGCAACGTTCACAGCTCAGAAACCATGACATTAAATTGTAATCTTTGACATTTTAAATAAAACGTTTTTGGTAGTGTTTTTTTTATATATTTGTAGTGTTACTCTATTCAAACGTGTTTAATACCATTTTTCAAATATTGTACCTTCATACGATAACGATTTCATAAAAATAAAGGTAGTTTTATTTGTGTCAAATTTATCGATATTAAAGTTTTCTGTAATTCTTTAGAAGAAAAGATTAAATGGAAGTTCTGTTAGAGCTAAAATTGTACCAAATAGAAAAAAAAATTAAAGAAGGGCTACATTGTAGCCCATAATAATGAAACTAAACTAAAAAGGTCATTGTTAGTAAAGTTTATGAGTGTTCTTTTGTGACAACTCAATTAAATAATATAATAGCGATACTATTGCCATCTATACGCGTGAGTGGTCAACTAATGTCCATATTATGAGACTAAATTAAAAAATAACATATTATATTCAAACGTATGCGGATATCGATCAATTTAAATTAACCATCTTATTTCGTTGTAGAACCTAATACTTTGTTCTGAGTTTAACGTCCCTGCCGTCAACTCCGTACAAGAAACCAATCGCGTAGGGGTCCAGTGATGTATGACATTTCCACACGCCCTTCACCCCTGTCAGTAGATGGAGACATGACATCTGACAGAAACTGTCATTACAACAAAGAGTAAAGATAATAATGTTTTAATTAATCTTTAATTCATTTCATTTTCATTTTACATGTTGGAATTAATTCATTCATTTCACATTGGCAAAATTGTGTGAAATGCGCAGATATGCCATTAATAAAAGAAGAAGAAGACTAAAGTATGTACCTACATATCAGGGAATTACGAGTGATTGAGTAAAGTTTCGTTTGTGCTTACCCTCTTCGCTTTATTTGTAATATAAACGCTCCTTTTTTCGAAGTATTTTTCTTTGTAGAAGATGCCTAGGAAATTGGTGTGTTGTGTCATAGTTGTGTTACACGCATTGTTAAAGTACGAACAGGACGCTATTCTTTGTAAGATTCTAGTGAACGAGAAAAGATTCTCCAAGTGGTTACAATGTCTTAGTGCTGTGTGTGATACTGAAAATTTGAATACAGCCAGAAGTGTCATTTGTAGCAAACACGTTGTACCAAGATTCATTACTCCAAAATCACGACTCTTGGGTGACGCATATCCGTCATTGTTTAATGATGATGGGCTCTCAATCAGCCTACCCTCTTCAAGCAATACTGGTAACGCTGGTTTAATCTGCTATTACCTTTAGATAATGTAATTAAAATGATATGTATCTTCACTTTATGTTGTGTTTTGGAATACCGCTATTCTTCATTAAATTTTTTTGTTATTACAGAAATTATATTCACTTGGGAACACAGCTATGCAAGAAAAAGTCATGTTGACCACACATATTAGAAAGTGGAACTGAACAGAGGTTTGTTTTTAATTTATTTTATTTAGATAACAAAGTTCATGCTGCAGTTTTGGTGTATTTTAATATAGATTTTTGCTTTAAAAAAGTCTAGTAGATCTCTCTTTCTTACACACATAAAGAAAAATGACATTAAGTTACTTAATTCTAGTGGGCACACTAAAAGTGATTTTGATCAGAGAACAAATTGATAATATAAATAACATATTTCTAATATCATCTAAGATTATATCCTGTTTTTTAATCTTCCACACATAATCAATATTGATTTCATAGGTGGTGTAATTTTAAAAGAACAAATTGAGACTCCCGTGTCTGCAGCCACTGAGTTAACTCAATTAGTTGCTTGCTCTGGAGATTAAAATATGACACAAACTAAATTATCTGGTAAGACCTGTCTCTTTCTTTAGTGTATCTTTATTTCAATCAAATAGTAGTTCTAATAGAGAAATTCACTGAATACTTTTGATGTTACAGACCCTGTGAAATGTACCCAAACAAAAGGCTTATTACCAAATAAAGCCAATTGTCACCTTTATACCAGAGAATTTATGAAGAATATAACAAGCCAAAGACGTAGTTGAACTTTCATAATAAAGTTAAGAATACTTAAATACTGTTAAGTTTTGTAAAAAGTTATCATTTGAAAAGTTCTGACAAAAAATGAACACAGTTGCAAAAAACGTTTTTGAAATGCAAGTGAGCATGTGCTCTAAAAATAAACATGAGAGGTGATTCACTACCGAAGAAAAGATAATTGCTTTATCAATATCAAAGCAGAGTCCATAGTGTTATTGATTTTTAAGCAAAATTTTTTATTTTATCATCCAAAACTACACTGAATACTATGATTAGAAAATCGATCATAGAACCAGGCTTCATGTAAGAGGTAAATATATTCCATATAAGATTTTTCATTATACTTTTATAATTTTTTGTATTACTACCAAATAATAATATGTACCTACCTATTTGAATTTATTTTTTCAGGTGGACAAATGAAACTCCAAAAAATATGCTCCATTATATTTGATGAGATGTCATTAGAAACAGCACTTTCGCATAATAAAAGTTAGTAGTAGAAAAAGTTGTTGAATTGGACCTTAATCCCATTGCAATAATATATGACCAAGGCTCAGCTTTCCAATCAGCACTCAAAAATCTAAAAGAAGACACTTAGTGTGATCAAATTTTAAATTGAAATTACAGGTTGGTACAGAGAATTATATTTATATGAAAGAAAACTAATAGATTTAATGAAAGTAGTGAAGGTTCCTATTTTTATATTGTTATCTATGTTTTAAGAAGTTCTTAAATTTTTGTTTCAGTTGGCATTCTTAAAATATGTGGGGTGGATTTGAACATTATGATTCTGCATACTTGATAAAATGCATCAGGAACAATTTTTTAACAAAAAATTTAATATTGGATATTAAACTTGCAAAATGGCATGATATTATTTGGCTGCTAATTAAGCTGGGCTACGTCATAAATTAAATGACCAATGAGTTATACCTGATAAAATTAAAATGATGAAGGTAATGCATTGGTTATTATATTAGTATAACTTAAATTAGTATAAATAAAAGAAATAATTTGTATTCAGCTTCTATATTCTCTATCAGAGCAAGTGTTGATTCAATGACCTGTATTTTTAATTATGTAACAAGTAGTTAATATAGTTTACACTTAAATTACAATAATGATTCTCTAATGAAGATAATTTTAAATATGATATCTCTTTTTGCAGGTAAAAAATTGTGTAAAAATATGTCTGCAGCTTTGTCTTACACTGCAAATTTCTGTGAGTATTAGATGAAATTTACTAACAGTTAATAGTTTTGAATCAAGTTTCATACAATTATTGTATGAATATTTTAATTTGCAGCAACTTATGTGGATGGCAGGCCCGTCAGCACAACATTAAGAAATACAGCTGAAGTTGTTTCATTCTTTGACCAATTATTTGATAGTGTCAATGGAGCATCGATAAACAAAAAAAGCATAAAGGAAAAGAGCATCATTCTTTCTGGCCAAAGGCAATTGAAATTTTAGAAAAACTTAAATAAGTGTATAAAAAAATATCAGTGCCCTCTTTAAAAAAAATGTGATTACCTTGAAAAGTTTCATAAAGTTGTGTCACTAAAAAAATGTAGCTAAGAATTGCCGAGAATGCAGAAGAAAGCTGTGTAAAATATAATAAGTTAAAAAATAAATTATTCAATAAATAATATTGGAAAAATGTGTGTTTCATTTACGTGTTCGTTTTTCCTTTTTTGTTTTAATACAACAATAATAATAAGCTAGACTTATCAGTCTGCTTTATTGTTATTGTTGTATTAAAACAAAAAAGGAATTTAAATTAAAGTAAAAATAATGTGGAAACTAGGAAGACGGCTAGGTACCTACCCAAAACAGGGCTGTATATTTAAATGCCTTTGCCGACAGTAGATATATATATATATATATATATTTAAAACGAATGATGCTGTCATGTATCACTGGCTCCCAATCACGCTCTACGAAGAAATTTTTTGTTAGGAAGTTGGTCGTCTGATACCTACTAAGTCTGTGGAAGATATCTGGCGATGAGCATATTTTTATTTATTGTGGTTTTCGTTCAAATTTTTGAGAAGTTAGCTAGTGCTTACGATAAAGCCAAATCTTAATAATTAAATTATCTTTAAGCATTAACTTGTACATAGATAATGGGGAATGAAAGTTCACATTTAAGTGGTTTAGAAATAGAAGAACAAGCTGTCGAAGTTACTGAATTTTGGACCCAATACCAAGCGACTATAAAAGATAGTTGTAGGTATTTTAGCTTAAAAAGTGATGGTTCAGTGTCAGTGTTTAAAGGTGAAGTAGCTTTAGGTCCTCTATGGGCAATTGCCACACCCTTGGAAAAATTTTCAAATGTAAGTCAAACAAGTGAACATTTCTAGAGCAATGCTATCTGCAATATAATCTTAGATAAATAATATATTTCGTGATTCATCTATAAAGCGCCCTGCTATACTGTACTGTACTGTTCTATACTGTAGTGTTGCTGGAATTATAGAGGGGCAATAATTTTCTATTCTTAAGAGTAGGAATCCAGACATGAGTTCTATCACAGTCAAATTATTGATAAGGGCATTCATGTTGCATGTTATTTATTAGTCTATTTAAATTGGTACTTTGTTCTTCTCATTGTTTGTAATTACAGTATAATGTTATATTGATTATAAAATAAAAGTTATGATCTTGTTAATAAATTGATGTTTTTTTTCAGAATCTTTTGAAATTTCGTCATCCAGGTATTGTACGTTATATATCTGCATGGCAACAAAGGTCAACTCTCCATCTTGCTACAGAATATGTACAGCCGTTAGTACAAGTTTTAAAGACTCAAACGCCTCTTCAAATCTGCATCGGACTAAATAATATTTTAAGAGCTTTGGTCTTCTTACATGAACAGGTATACTATACTCAAATTAAAGGGGCTTATAAATTTTTTAACAGCTCTTGGCTGTTTTATTACAGAGCCAAATCCTTTTCTTTTATTATAGAGAAGTCAAATTTATATCAGATATTTGAAACTGACAAATATTGAAAGTTTTTATATAAGATATATTATTTATGGAAATTATTTTTAGGCGTGTATGTCACATAACAATATCAGCATTTCTGCAATTTATGTGACGGGTGATGGTCAATGGAAGCTGGGGGGATTACAATATCTATGTTCTTTCAGTGAGCTTACTTCTGCATATTTGAAACAAGCCAGGTTACACAGGTAATCAGTTAATTTTGAAACTGGACAGTAATATAATTTTATTATGCTTAGTTTTAAAGGTCTTTATGAAGATGCCTACACAACTGTGCCTAATTTTTTGGGAATTTATTTCCTGCTCCTTTATTTTTCAACCCATGCAAAATATGTGTTTGTAACCAAAGTGGAAATTCTTCAATGTTTTTAATTCTAAACTAGTAAAATTATGTAATCTCCTAAATGTCACAAGCAAAGTGGTAAAGTCTTAATGTCCCATTCATTGGTGGTAATGTGAAATACTTTCTTTGCATTATGACTGTCTATCTAGAATCAATAATTCATATTTGCAGATATGACAAAGCCATTGATGTGAATGAAGATTCAAATGAGTTAACTACAAAGGTAGATCAATATGCTTTTGGTGTTTTAGTTGAAGATGTATTTAAAGGTCATCAGGATGGTAATTGTTGAAAATTCTGTAATTATGTAGTATCACAGAATAATACAGTATACAATAATACAGAACGAAAGAGTATTATAGATAAAAATATATTTATTTATTTTCTTCATTTTTCAGATGAGGTTCCTCATTTAAAGGAGTTTAAAAAATATTGCTCAAATACATTACAGAATCCTGATCCTGGAAATAGACCTAAGTTGTCTGAGGTGCTGAATCATGATTTTTTTTGTCATGAATTTATTACAATATACAAATTTCTTAATTTTCTACCTCTTAAAAATGAAGATGAGAAATATAATTTTTTCTCTAACATTTTAAGTATTCTGAAATGTTATGATGAGGAAACAGTGGCTAAACAACTTGGTGGATTGTTATTATCTAGACTCACTCTGTTGGACCAAACTGCCAGGAAAGATGTTATACCTTATATTCTGAAACCTAAAACGGGTAAATGAATTGATAAAATATTTGTAATAATTATTGGCGATACTTTAAAATTGTAACATTGTGTTTCCCATAGATGCAGCAAATATCGCACTTTTTGTATGTTCACAAATGTACTGCTATTTTTAGTTTAGTTTATTACCTTAGTTTTGACAGTGTTTCAAGGAAAATCTTCAAGTATCATGAAAATGTACTAATGCATATTTTCAGGACATGAATCATCTGTCGTATATACACCTACCCTAAGTGTTAAAAAAACTCAAACTATATAGATGTTGCTAATTAATTTTTCAAGTTGCCCATTACATGCACTCTGATGTAATAAAATGATAAATAAGTCATTGTTTGTTTTAAAATCTTTTGTGTTTCTTATAATAACAAAGTTTCGATTATTTTTTTACGTTACATGTAAAGTACTTATTTAACGACTCGGGAGAGCAGTACATCACGTCGCATCGGAGGCCCGAGCTCGCGCACGTAGTTGGCCGTATGCTGGAACTCGGGCGTTTTTTATTGCTTAGTAAAAAAATTGAGAGGCTGGGTTATCTATAATTCCATAAAAATCTTAGATATTATTTATAGTTTTGCAGTATCGCCATGTATTTTCAATGAGTATCTATATTGTTGTTATAATTAAATTATTTTTGTTACAGAACGATCACCTCAAAATGGCGAAAATTCAGGCTTTTTTACTTTAAGCATATTTAAAGAGCATTTGAGACCTAGACTACTTCAGTTATTTGGAGTCAGGGATAGTCAAATTAGAATGTTACTCTTGAATCATTTTTCAAAGTTTGTTCATGTTTTTTCACATGAAGAATTATCCCAACATATTCTACCAGAAGTATGTTTTCATATTTTATCTGTAATATTTTCCAAAGGCTATTCACATTAATTTTAATATTTTTCTTTTCAGTTGCTCGTGGGGATCAAGGATGTTGATGATAGCTTGGTGTCATCAACACTGATTTGTTTAAGTGAACTTGTTCCTATATTGGGAGCAGACACAGTCATAGGTGGTAAAAGATCCAAGCTATTTACAGATGGGAGGCCAAACTCAAAGTTACCTTCTGAGAAATCTGGTGATAATTATGATTATTCTACAAAATCATTAAGAGATTTGCCATGTTCCGAAGAAGTATTCCATCATAGTAATATTACATCTCATTACGACAAATCAATATCATTAAACGAAAGACCATCACCTGTTGGCGGTGAATCAGTAGAGAGTGAAAAATGTGTATCAAATGATAAGGTATTAAAAGCAGACAGTGAAGACGATTGGAGTGATTGGGATAATAATAACCGTAAATTAATATTGCTTCAACCACCTATTACGAAAGATTCTGATGTTATTGATCAACAAAGTTCAAACGACATTAAAGATATACATAATGCAAATATAGATACATTGCAAGAACTGAAATCGGATTCTAAAAACAGATCGACATTACTTCAAAAAGCAGCATTTGAGGCAAAGCAAAATATAATAGATATATCAGAATTAGATATAAAGAATCAAAAAATTGAAAGTTCTAAAAAAACTACTGAGGAATTCGACTTTTTCGCAGATATGACCCCTGTAATAGAGAAACCTTCTTTTGTAAATATTTCATTGGCTGAACCATCTGAAAATGTAAGCAGTAAATTTAATTTTGTTCCTGATGATGCTTTGAACGAAAAAGATGGTTGGGGGGATAATTGGGATGAGTAAAAAAAAAGTAACAAAATACTAGTCTTAAATGTTATGTATTGTAATATATTTAATTGTTATATATAGGAATTATAATAATAAAAAAACGTCAATCTAAACTTAGTTCTGTCAAAGAAATATTAGTTTAAGCGTCATCATCTAAACATCTATGGCAGCTGTTGAAGAGTATAATAGCTGTAGCTAAAATAGTTACTACTTGGACGAGTTCACATGACACCTGACTAGCAACAGTATAATTTCGATAGCGCAAAGATGAGTAACAGATGCTATCGCTTTGAGCTCGCATGGCGAAGCGGGGCGTCGATATGTTCACATACCTCTCGCTCACCTGCCCCATACGAGTCAGACGAATTAACAAGACATCTGGCTCGGATCGGAACTCCATATTTCGATCCTTGTCAGATATTTTGAAAATTCCATTAAATTACGTCGTGTAGTTTTAAAAAGATCTCGGCGTACAAACAACGGGAAGAGATTTTGTTTTATAACTATGTATATTGATATTCACCGCCCTTTACACTAACACCAATCACTGTTCTGGTTAGTTAGTATTAAAGTCATGAACTTCTTTTAAACTAGATAAATTGCAATTCCTACATTTTACTAAAAATCTACTGTGAAGAGTAAGTAAATTATTTAAAAAATATATTTTGTGGAATCGGTACAAGTTTATAAAAGATTATAGATAGTTTTATAGATATTTCTTCAAAGGTGTGCGGTGCTGAATAACTTACACCCAGTTGCACAAACGTCCATTAAATTGTCGCTAGTTTAAAGGGACAGTACCGTTACAAATTTTCCAATTTATGAATGAATGAATGAATAAATTCTTTATTGTACACCATAAATTATAGAGAAAATACAATTTATACAGTTTAGTTGTACAATCGGCGGCCTTATCGCTAAAGAGCAATTTCTGCCAGGCAACCGTAGGTTAGACTGGACTGTTACTAAATAGACGGGTAGTAGATGGTGTCTTACACTGCGAGAGAAACATACCTACATATAAATATAATATACTATATATAATATAATATAATAAACATATATAATATAATATAATACAATATACATACAAACATTTAAAATAAAACAGTACCAAGATAAATATAACAGGATGATACGATAGCATTTCTTTCTAAAGTGATAGATAGTATTCCTTTAACATATTTTTAAAACACTTTAATGAAGGAGCGCGCATTATTTCTTCAGGTAAGGCATTCCACAAGCGAACAGCCTGAACTGCAAATGATTTATCAAGGAATTTTGTGGAGCGCACAGGCACCTGCAGTTTTAGGTTCTCCGATGATCTCAAAACACGACAGTGCGTATCACTAAGGAACTTGAAACGTTCCTTAAGATAAGTTGGTGAGAGAGGATTGAACAGTATACTGTAAAGCAGGGAAACATTATGTGCATTCCGACGAAGTCGAATTGGCAACCACTTGAGCTTAGTGCGAAAATCAGATACATGATCATACTTGCGTAACCCAAATATGAATCTAATACAAAAATTTTGAAGTCTCTCAAGTTTATTCAGTTGCTCCTCAGTTAAGTCTAGATAGCTGACATCGGAGTAATCCAGTATTGGAAGAAGAAGGGATTGTGCGAGCGCAATTTTAGTGGCCACAGGCAAGAAGTTACGTAGCCTCTTCAAGGAACCAGCCGCAGCAAACATTTTCCGACTCGTCTGCTCGATCTGTGGTCCCCATGTCAAATTTTTATCTATAACTATCCCCAGATTTCGTACGTTATCACTAGGGATTAAAGCAACACCATCGAACAAAATTGCAGGTAAACATGAGCGTTATTAAACTTTAATGGGCGTTTTTGCAACTGTTCAAAAGACCTGAGTTAAAATCTTTTGACAAGCTGCTCCTTTATTCTGTGATTCTGGAATGTTATGTTCCTTAGTGAGTTGCGGCGATGCGTTGAAGAGAATAAACTTGTGAACTTGTAGATTTTTTTATACAATAAGTAGCGTAGAGATTGCAGGTACAGTGCGATGATTTTATGAAGATGAGATGATATGAACGACGACTGAACAGCACTATGACTGATCTAATTCTAATGTGTCTTGGTACAAAAGCTATGGGTTTATATATCCCGAAATTTGTAAAAAAAAACAACTAAATTAGGATTAACCTATTGGTCCTATGATAAGGGACTACTTTGATGTCGCGAGTCGCATACGCAAATATTGATTAGAATTATTAGGAATTTTATTGTAGTTGATTGCAGATGACCTCCAGGTCAACAAAAAAAATACATATTATGTACAGATCACTTAGACCATTTCTAAATAAGGGCATTAACATGGAACTTCTGAGGACTACCGAAAAATTGTTGACAAAGGACAGTGGGTAAGCGGTTATCGTGCGGTTTTGGTATTCTGTAACTCGTTTTCGATAAATCACTAAACAACACACTCATTGAATTTCACTTTCACAGTTTATTGGTACAAGAGCAGTGTCAAAAAAAAAATCAAATTATAGAACTGACTTCAAACTTAAAATAAGTGAAAATAATACTCATCTTTAAAGCGGTTAAATTTTCAAGAAACGTTAAAGTTGGATTGAGGTTTTCTCTAGTTTATTGAATGATTATGATCCGCCGGCGACTTCACCCGCGTAGTCCCTAGGTAACTGCTTATTTGGATATTAAAAAAAAGAAAGTAAGTAATAGAAAGCACCTCCACTAGGTAGGTAGGCGACTCTAGCAAAAGTGGATTTTTGCAGGAAACGAATAGACCAAAGATAGTCATTTCCGTTCCTTTTAACTAACATATTAAAAAACTGAAATTTGTAAAGTTCGAAACTAAGATATCAATATAAATATGAACAAGTACAAATAGAATATGAATTGTTTATTGAGTTTTTAAAAACTAATTTACTTTTTTACTTACCCATCTCTAGATAATTATCAAGATATGGGTTGTCATGGAGTAATCAAGAAAGTACCGTAGTGACATCTAGTTTTGCAGGTGTTGCGACTCTGGTGTTGCAGGTGTCCATGGGCGACGGTAATCACTTACCATCAGGTGACCCGTCAGCTCATCTGCCCCCTATCCCATAAAAAAAAAAAAAAAGACGGATCTAAAGATCCCAAACATGATGCAGTTGCGTTATTTCATCACCAAGTTTCTAAGGCTACCTTCCGACTTCATCATCATATCAGCTTACTGACACCATAATATTGCATTGTCAAAGTTTCAAATGTATTGGATATTAGGAAATGGGTCAAATTTGAGTTCCAAGATTTGCGTACTAACCAACATACTAACAAGGCAAGTTAAATAATAGTTATTTAAGATACGAGTGCGGAAAGTAAGGTTTTACGAATAAGGGCCAAATTAAACAACACGAGCGTAGCGAGGGTTTTCGTTGTGACAAATTTATTTATTATTAAAAATTAAAAGATCAACATCATAAGATCAGTAAGTAGTTCGACACTTCAAAATGTCAACAGTTTACTATTCTCGCAACCATTTAATAGGATGGCGCCATTCAATTGCAAGCCTAGTTTGCTAGACGCTCAATTAGTCGTCCGATTATACGACTTAGCTGCGACACGGACATTATGGGTGGTGTGTAGTGTTGCCAGGTGTCCCGATTTTCAGGGGTCCGGGGACGCATCCCGATTTGTAACTAATCGGGAAGCTAAATGTCCCGAAAAATCAAGCATTTTATTAAAAATATATATATTTTTTTATACTATCAAATCCATTTTTGAAAGCCACTAACTATATCTATCTATGTTTGAAAGCAAAAAACTACCAAACTAGTACCAATTAGTATGTCATGAGGAAGATTATGATATCAATTATTTATTAAGGTTTATATCAATTATTTATTTCAAATCTTTAATTATAAAAAAGTACTTGTATTTTTGTCCGTCCCGATTTACAACCCCAAATCTCGATTAATTACACGCGCTGTCCCGATTAATAATAAATTGGACCTGGCAACACTAGTGGTGTGCGTCACCCATAAAATCATCAAGTTTTAAAATAATAATATTCAGTAGGTTTGTTAAAATAATACAAATGATTTAAGTTCACAATATTTTATTATTAAACTATGCGAAAAAAGAAAGTTGTGAAATACTTTTTTTCATGTGATAACATCAAAACAATCTACTTAATATATGAAGTTTTGAACATTCAACCTCAATTTGTGATTGTAATGTTATTTTTTTCACTTTAATATTTCCTGAAAATTTTGTTACAATTTTAACATTAGAATAATGTCTGTATTTTAAGAGGTTCAGGCCCGGATTTATGCCCGAGACATGTGCCCCGAGCGCCAGTGTAAAAATATTATACATACTCGTTTACAAATTAAAAAGAATGAGCTTTACAAATCTCTTCATACATATAAGCGTCTACGATGGGGTGGACACGCTTCAAAATCCCTATATTCAAAATTCAGCTTAACGAAACGTGAGGGGGGGGGGGGGGGGAATAAAAGAAGGGCGCAGAACGAAGTTTCCGTCCAAAAATCATAAATCCGGATCTGAAGTTTGTGACAACAGGCGCCACTGACCACAGCCTCCGAAGGCCTTCGCGCGTCATCTACTTTGGTATTTTAGTGCTCGCTACAATAAAGTATACTCTGAAGCCACAAACAATCTATCCAGAAAAATAAAAACACACTTGCTATAATATTTAATAATTTCATTTACCCGCGAAAACGCTGTCCGCCATATTAATGACGTCTTTCGAATATACAGATGCAAGAGTATATTTTTATTACAGTTGCCCTATTGGTGAAAAGTGAGCGATTTGCTGATGGTCTAAATGACGATAGTAAAACTTGCGATTTGCTTGACCGTAAATGTTGAATTTACTTTTGAGCAACGAAGGTGAATCATTTAAATATATATGAAAGTAATGTTACTTATTTAATTCTGACTGTTTTAAAAATCTTGCATATTCTTTAAGACGCAATGCATTGATATTGATGAAACCAGTGCTATCTTCAGGAGAGAAACCACCAGAGACGTCCATGGACACAAGCTCTTGGTTGTATAAACTTTTAGAACTTTTTCGTGCCAAGATTGTAACTGGAAACAAAATACGTACATTTTTAAATAAAAAGTCTCGAGCTCGACACAGATTCACAGCCGGATAACAAAATAATCTTATAAGCATTCCGTATTTTATTTTTGGGGTTAAATATATGTCGGAAATACCCTCAGGGTTACGTCAAACAGTGGATGCTCATTGCTCTTCTATACTAATATTATAAAGACGAAAGATTTGGTTGTATGTTTGAATTGAATAGGCTCGCAACAACCGGACCGATTTTAAAACTCTACGGGCAGCTACATACATTATACGGGTTTGACAAAGGCTAAACATTTTCGCGTCTGAAGTCGCGGGAGAACAGCTAGTATACTTATAAAATGTAACGAATAAAATAAAACAAATTAGAAACGGCTTTCATTCATTGGTTATAAGTAATTAAAAATTTTGTACACATGTTAAAAATATATACCTATAACCTATGGTTTTTGTTTCACCACAATAAGGAAGTCTTAAAAAAAAAAAAATCAATGCTCAAAACATTTTCTGTCAATAATTGACACAAATAATAACATTGTTTATTCTTTTACATATCGACGCTGGGAAGCAAACACGTAGTAACCTGCAAAACCAAAATGGATATTTAAAGTGGAAAATCTTATATATTTTTCATAAAAAATATCTTATTTCCTTATAAATTGACTAAGGAACTCCTTATTTGTTACCATGGACGTTTATAGGAATTATATATCGAAAAAAATATAAGTTTTTCTGCTCTGAAGAACACTTTTGGTTTGGCGGGTTACTACGTGTTTGCTTTCCAGCATCGACATATACCATAATTGAAAAATAATAATTTGCGGTTATAAAAAACAAAAACAGTATTTTAAAACTCAGATGAGGTTAGCTGTTAGAGTGAAGTTTGAATATCAATTACCATTCCCTTTAAATATTTGAACGGTTACAGTGCCATTTACTATATCTTGTGATTGTTCCAAGCACTTTCTGGTATAGTTAGCTTCAGGCGAAAACCAAAATCCATTATAAACGAAATCGGCCATTTTGTCTTGTAGATACTTTTTGATCCTGCAATATAAAAAAATACAATATGCACTTTTAAAGCGCAGAAATACATGTGGAATAATTAAAAAATAGCACAGAACTAGGTATTACCTTTGGACTTCTCTATCGAGTGCGTACGCTTCAAGGTCAAGGTGTGCCACGTGCAGAATAGTTCCTGCTGGAGTTTCGTATAAACCTCTGGACTGCAAACAAAGTAGATTAGTATGTTGTTTTAAACTTTCATGGTCATTAACATCAGAAATATTGGGAACTCGTAAAATATAAGGTACATGGTAGCAATTCCGTTTTAACAATCATTATAAGTAGATTAATGTTCACGACATTTACAACAAAAATAACAAATTATAATAAGTGTAAAACATTAGTTGTGTGTAGACTACTTGACTGTTGGGAAAAGTTTTTAGAATCTTCCATATGATTATATAATATTAGGGCACTATCAGGTTTTTTTTTTCTCCAACAAGATATTCATTAAAAAAGTCATTAATTTTAATCCTCTGGCGAAAACAATCAGTCACATGAAATTTCGAGCAGTGACGTCACATTTCTATAAACACGAGTATTTTTGTATTCGCAAAAAGTTTGAGGTTTAGTTCATTGAAATGTGACCTAACACGAAGCTCCGTCACGGCTACCTGCGTTTCGGTTCTTGTAATAATTCGCAAGTAACTTTGGCAAAAATAAAATATAAGGTACCTGGGTCGAATATGGCCAGCCGAAAAATATAGCCACATACCATTATTACAAACACTAAATATTTTAATAACCTAAACGCGACCATAAATTGTCGCTAGTGTCGCATGTATCCGAACGGAGTACCTGTTAACCCTTCCCGCGCCCTGCTGGTCGTCCAGTGTCGGTTAAAGCAAAACAACCGTACAGGTTATAAAAAAATTAAGTAAGTATTGTTCTGTATTTTATTATTCTTCGAATAAGAATATTTGTAAATCATATTAGATGTTGTGTGAAGATTGTAATTTGATATTTCTTTGTTTAATTATCAAAATAATAGTGGGTTTTTCATTCATAAATATGAAAACGTAAACATGCGTGACGGCAAATATGGCCAGTGTTTGGCCATATTTCCGGTACTAAAACTATAAGAAAAAAAATACTAACAAATTTTTGTTTTAGACTATGCCGCGCTATATAGCAAAAGGGATTCGAGGTAATTGATCAGAAGCATTAATAAAACAAACTTTAACTGCAGTCAAAAGCGCTAAGATGAAAGAAAATACGGCTGCATATCATTATAATGTGCCAAAGTGTACTTTAAGGCGTTATTTACTATAGAAGAAAGAAACAAAAACTACTTCTTAACCCTGATCAAGAGAAAATTTTATCATCCCGAGTTATTCGTCTGTGCAACGTGGGATACCCATTAACACGTGTCCTACGTAATTGCGTTTAAGAAAAAAATTTTGTATCTCATTGTTGATTGTTGATTTTCAACTTCTTGTTTCTTTATTTGTACATATTGCCCAAAGAATATATTTTATTAAATAAATGCTCTAGTAAAACATAATATCCCTTTTTATTTCATATTATTTAGAAGATTTTTAAATATGTACATTGATACAGTAAATATGGCCACATACAGGGCATATTTACCTACCTCATCGGAAATATGGCCAAATTCAAAATTTTTAAAAAATGTTGAAATTACTTTTTGTGGTTTCAAGTCTTTGTATTTTTTTGCCTTTATTGTAAAGATAAATAGCCATTCTATGAATGTGTGCTAAAACTAATTTGTTTTAGCATTATTATTATTAAAAAAGGACTACAAACCTTAACGTGGCCATATTCGACCCAGGTACCTTACTTACAATTTATAAAAAAAATACCACACAGTTATTGTTTACATATAAGTGACCACTTCCAACACTTTCTTAATTTATATGCTATAGCTGTGCCTGCAACTTCGTCTGCGTGGGAAGTATTTTGGTAGAATTCTTTTTTTCCTATAAATGGAGTCGAATCGAATAAGATCAATGGGCCTTAACCCATTCAAAGTCAAAATAATCTTTATTCAAATAGACTTCTTAAAAGTACTTTTGAATCGTCCAACATTTTTTCCCTACCACTCGTTCAGGACGTCTTTTGGCTGATAAGAAGAACGAGCAAGAAACTCGCCAGCTCTAATATGAGTAATGACATTTACAAAAACCATGTCATTACCAGATCAATACATTATAAACAGAGATAAAAAAAACTATGGTCTTATAATAATAACATAATCATTTAATAATAATGGAAACAAGATAATGAGTTTAGAAGTAATCACCTATCCAGTTGCTGGATCATCTCAAGTCCAAGCGTTCTTATCTGTTACATAATCGGATACCTTATAATAAGCTTTTTTAATAAGTATTTTTTTAATAGTAGATTTAAACTGCATGATATCTAATTGTTGTATTTTGCTTGGGACCTTATTGTAGAAGCGCACACAAAGACCCTTGAAAGAGTTATTAACTTTTTGCAGTCTAGTGACAGGCACCGTTAATTTATTTTTATTTCTTGTATTAAAATTGTGTACATCACTTTTAATAGAAAACAAACTAATATTTTTACGAACGTACATTAAGTTCTCGTATATGTATTGAGAAGCAACAGTCATAATGTCTATTTCCTTAAATTTCTCCCTTAAAGAGTCCCTAATCCTAAGATTATAAATTGATCGAATTGCTCTTTTCTGAAGCACAAAAATTGTTTGTATGTCGGCAGCATTTCCCCACAATAGGATACCGTATGACATAACACTATGAAAGTAACTGAAGTATACTAATCTGGCAGTATCTATGTCAGTTAACCTACGTATCTTCATTACGGCATATGCTGCAGAGCTAAGTCTACTCGACAATCTATCAATATGTGGGCCCCACTGTAGTTTAGAATCTAATGTTATTCCTAAAAATACTGTGGTATCCACAAGGCCCATGTTCTTATCTTTTACATTAACATTTATATCTACTTTTTAACATTAGGTAGTACAAATTTTAAGCATTTTGTTTTTCCTTCATTAAGGAGAAGATTATTTACATTAAACCAATGTACTACTTTAGCGATAGAATTGTTCACATCGTCATTTAGAGGTAACCCTCTTTTAATTTTAAACAAGAGTGAAGTGTCATCCGCAAACAAAACTATTTCGTGATCATCCCTTACGAAATAAGGCAAGTCATTTATGTAAATCAAAAACAAGAAAGGACCAAGTATTGAGCCCTGCGGAACGCCCATCTTAATTTTCGATCCAGGGGATCTTTTGCCATTGATATCAACCCTCTGTACTCTGTCAGTCGAGTATGAGACAATAAAATCCAATGAGTTATCTCTAAATCCATAAAAATGCAGTTTCCTAATCAATGTTTCATGAAAAACACAATCAAATGCCTTAGATAGGTCACAGAAAACACCTAACGCATCATGTGAATCCTCCCAGGCATTAAAAATTTCTTGTATTAACTCGACACCGGCTTCGGTTGTCGAGCGACCCCTTGTAAAACCAAATTGTTGTCGATTCATAAGCTTATTCTTGTAAAAGTACGTTTGTATTTGATCCAGCATGATTTTTTCAAAAATCTTACTAAACGTAGGTAGCACGGATATAGGTCTAAAGTTAGTAGGATCAGATGTGCTACCCGATTTATGTAAAGGAATAATTTTACTATATTTCATGAGCTCAGGAAAAATACCACAATCAGTACATTCATTAAATATATAAGCTAAGATTGGAGCTATTGTCTCAATTACCGATTTAGAAACTTCAATGGAATTACCCCATAAATCAGCAGTTTTCGTTTTCTTTAGCTGATTAAAAGATTTTATTATATCTTTAAAATCAATGTGTTGAAACTTAAATTGGCTATTAGAATTATTTAAACTTGCCTTTAAAATAGATTCAGCAACAGTGGAAGAGGAATTCAAAGATTGTGTAATTAAGACTGGAATTTCAGTAAATAAATTTTCAAATACTGTAGCAACTGCAAGATCTGATGTTACTTTTTTATTATCAATGTTTAAATTAAAATTTATATTCCGGGATTTTTCTCTTCCAGTTTCACTATTTATGATATTCCACGTCATTTTAACCTTGTCTTTACTATTTTCAATTTTTGCATTTAAATAATTACATTTGGCTAAACGACACACTTTTTTAAATAATTTAGAGTAATTTCGTACATATTCTTTGAAGTCCTCACTTGTGTTATAATTACGTTCATCATATAGTTCATAGAGCCTTTTTCTGCTTTTGTAGATTCCTGGTGTAGCCCACACACTAAAAGTTATAGGATTACTAATACTTATTTTTTTTGGGACAAAAATCTTATTGAATTCTGTACAAGGACTAACGGCTCAACGTGCATTGTGCCAGTCTTGTGCACAGTGCTCAAGATAATAATGTTTTGGTCACCCATCCTGTGAACGGTCCTTACGAATGTTATTTTTCTATCTTTTTTCTCGTTTCTCGCGCTCTGGTTGTCGCTTGTGTCTAAGTATTTAATTCGTAACTTTAAACTGTCCTTCTTTTGTTTTTGATCTTTTAAAATTGACATTATTTGTCTAGTTGTATGCACAATCGGCTACTTATTGTTCTATTTTCCATGTAACGCTAGGTTGCATGGAAGAAGTCGCTGGCTAGCGATGAGATTTTCGTTTGTACTTAGTTATGTAAAATAAGTATTCATGTATGTCCTTGTCGTGCAGTATTTACTTACTTATTTAACTGCAAATTAAACCGAATGCGCTAATCCACTACGCCATCGGACCCCTTATAACTAAGCTATACTAATATAATAAAGAGGAAAAATTTGGTTGTTTGTTTGTTTGTTTGCATCGAATTTGCTCCAAAACTACTGAACCGATAGTTTCAGAGTGATTCCGACCTACGGGAAGCTACATCAAACGCGCATGTCATAGGTTATAATTTTGCGGCAGTCGTGGGAAAATAGCTCGTTCATTATAACCTGTGAAAACTTATCTGCGGTACGCCTGTGGAATATGAAGGCAACATGGGTTGATCTCTATTGTGCAAACTGCGAGCTCTTCAAGAGACCTATCGAATTTACCTATCAAAGGAAGTTTCATACTCATACCATACTGCATGTATGTAAATGCTTCAGATTCAACTTTATCGTGCATGAGCCTAGCGATGGGCAGTTAAATACGCTTACCGAGCGCTGTCTGATCTCTTTCTTTGTCAATAAAAGTCGGTCGGTACATGTCTGACGGAAGATACCTACGTGGAGATTAATTTATTGATATAAAAAAAATATATACATATTTTAATTCCGACTTTCCACACTCGAAGGAAATAGTCTACTATCATACTTCCGAGAGGTGCTTAACTGAGCATCTGTCAGACTGCCCTCATCATCATCATCATCAGCTCTTTTACGTCACCAACTGCAGCAGCTCAGGCCTTCCTTATGTATGATTAAAGAGGATGGGCCACGACCTCCATGCTGGCCCAATGTGGATTGGAGGATATTAACGACTGCAAATACAACCGGGACCAATCGCTTTACGTAGTTTCCGAAGCTTGGAGTTGCTTGAGATAATATTTTTGGTCATCCATACTGTGCCCGACCTTTGCGAAAGTTGCTTAACAATCGCGGGCCATGGCGCTTATTCACTACGCCACCGAGCTACTCTGAACCGACACTCAGACACGCGGAATATTATATGAGTGTTGTGACCAATGAATAAAACATTGTTTCCAGCGAAGACTGAAAATATCAACTTTGAAGTACGTATCTGCAGAAATCTGTATGTAAAAAAATAACAAAAAAGTATTAACATAAAAAAATAGCAATAAGAGAAAAAAATACATATAACTCGAGTTGTCTTTACGTTCTTAACTTCAGTTGACGTGAATCTAACTTTTTTACCGTCGTGGAATAACTTCTGATATTGTCTCTGTTACCTAGCAAGCAACAGGGGTGAGTAGGATTCTCCTCCGTGAACCCGACAGTGAGCTGCCCGGTGGGTCCCCAGAGGCCTACCCACCAAAACCCGTACTCTACACCCTCTCATGGGAAATGAAACCCGGCAAGCTATGGCCGAGTCACCAGGACACTCAAATATTGGACCATTGGTCCCTTTGCAGATGGAAAATTGGAGAGAGCGGGTAAATCGAGTGCCTCCCTCAGACAGACGAAACCGTGCAATGCGGGGGCGGCTACCAACCACCTCCGCTAGCCCCGACGACGACGTGAACCTTATCTGATAAATATATGCGTTCACTGTAAACTACTCGAGGCTTAATTGCATTATCGGAAGGCTCTTACCGCTTGTTCTCCTACTCGCGTGATCGTATACTACACATCCATTATAAGCTGAACCCTTTTAATGTGATTGGCTATATATATAAATGAAGTCAACTTACTTCGGAGTGATAAAATTTTGGAATCTTATTTTTTTATTTGTCATCATACAAATTATCCTTTTAAAGACAATATTAATTCGTAGCTCGGTGGCGCTACGGATATGCGCCGCTGCGCACGATCGTTATTGCTAAGCAATTTTCGCAAGAGTTGTTCACGGGATTGGTGACTAAAAATTATTAAATAAAAGCCTGAGGCCCTGCAGTTTGGCTGTGAAAGAGTTAATGATGATAATCAATATATCAAAGACGAAAATTTAATAAAACAGTTAATATTTCATAGCAACTTTGGCGACCACGTCACTTCAAATTGACATAACTTTTGACGATTGAACGATTGAAATAAATCTACACTCAATGTTAACGGAAGAATGCCGCAATATAACAGTGAAAACTGCATTTAAATCGGTTCAGCCATTTCTAAGATTAGCGTGCACAAACGCACAGACAAACAGATAAAAAATTTAAAAATCATTGTTTTGTGTTCTATTACGCTTATAAATGTCCCTCATAACAGTTTTTTTCATATATCTTTAATGTACAGACATCGATCGGGTACGTTTTTATTATAGTACCTATACCTATAGATAGAAGATAATAATAGTGGTAAGAGGTCGTGACAAAAAATCTAAAGTTTGATATATCGCTTTGTACAGAGGCCGGTGCAGGAACACCTGTGGCGGGGAAATTTCAAGTGCGAAAATTCATAATTTATTATTATAACTGTCAAGTAGCCAATTGACCAACCGTACCGTACGTGGGTCGGCCGTTGCGTTGTGGACAAATGAACGCGTTCAGTATTTCGTCGACCGTGTGTCCAGCGGTACCTGTACCACATGGTATTGTATGGTCAGTCTTTTGGTAAGGAGAGAATTGAATGTGGCATGCAGTCTCGACATTGATAGCGATCGTTAGTAGCGACCACAAAGCTCACTGACAGAACTGTCCAACCCAATCGTTAGGAAAGTAACAAATATAGCTAATTTGACAATTGCACTCGATATGTGCATAGCAAATAACAATTTAAGTAACTTTAGAGTCTTGCAACAATAGTTAAAATATGATCGCTGTGAGTTACCGACCGAATTCGGTAAGATTAAGCAGCTCCTGACCGTTGAATTCGTATCGTCTCGTCAGAAACGAACGTATGCGTATCGTCTCATCAGGAAAGAACGTATGCGTATCGTCTCGTCAGGAACGAACGTATGCACTGTAACCGTTACTGACCTAAGTAAAAGAATGTATTGACAGTAAGTGACAGTGAATCACATACTTCAAACGAATTGGTAGGAAATAGAGTATAAAATTGACCACAGAATTTTCACCTTTTGCAGTAACCTGATTTACTTACTACTGTGTACTTTTACCACTGACCAAATATTAACATTATATGTAATGGTTTTATAAAAGGTATTAATTTACAAACTGCATGCATGACGTAGCATGACGAACTCGAGAACGTTTTGTCTACACTCAAATGTCACTTTTCTCGGGTGCGCCCATACGATATCTTACTCTCGACCCGAGAAACTGACAGAGTGTAACCAAAGCGTTTCTCGAGTTTGTCATGCTACGCGTGCTGGTCATGAACCAGATGCAATATGACATAATATAATTTAAAAATAAAACATGTCAGTTTTAATTTTAAATAATACCTAGCAAAACGTAAGGAAATTATTTAACGATGAACATAAAATTGAGTAAACACATATTTTCTATATATTATATCTAATGAGTGATTAAGTATGGGAGAACATGGGATGGAAATCAGTCTCGTATTAACATAAGACGTTGACGCGTAATGTCATAACTTATATCTAATATAATATCCAAATAATCCAATTATACACATACTCAAATTATGATCCATCTGTCTGCCGAGTGCACTAATGCATTCTTCCGTTTATAAGTATACACCGACCCCATAAGAATTATTCATCTAACACCCGGTTTCTGAATTGAGAATTTAAAGCTAAGTACGTCTCAGACCGCACTTAAGCCATTTCAAAAGTAATTTAAATGGGCTTACGTTTCTGATTTTAATTTTTTTAATAATAAGTTGATCACAGTTTGATAAAACTTGGCCTTTTTGCCATGTTAAACGTAAAAAACTTAAGTTATTGAGAATAATCAGCAGATATTTTGAACTTTTCTCAATTCAGAAACCGGCCGTAAATGTGAAAGATCACCTTCAATCCCAGGAACCGGTTTTCGACTATGTCAATCCGCCCGACGCCGTGTTGTCCACCCAGTTTGTTTAACGTTTCCACCATGGCTACCACGTTGGTGATGACAAGAGCTTTTTCTTGGTTGCTTGGTATTTGTACAGATACCGGTAATCCTGTTGTAAATTGGAACATTTAGATGGCTGCACGTCAGATTACTACAGTATGTCAAATTTAGAGGCGGCGGCGGCAAGTAGGGCCGCTTGCCCCAGGCGCCAGTGATCAGAAAAAAGGTTACAAAAGGAGCTTAAAAAAATTTAATTCAAACACATTGTAGGCTACGATAGGGCGAATGTTTTCAATGTGGACTTGATCCAAATAAAACGTACGCGTGACGTCCAGCACGCGTAGCATGACGAACGCGAGAACGTTTTGTCTACATTCAAATGTCACTTTTCTCGGGTGCGCCCATACTATATCTCACTCTCGACCCGAGAAACTGACAGAGTGTAACCAAAGCGTTTCTCGAGTTTGTCATGCTACGCGTGCAGGCACGGCAAGTATTATTGTCATTTTATTTAAATACAAATTAAATTGGGCAAATTAAATAATATTACATAGTCACCTTTTTCAAAGTTGATATCGATAACACATGGATAATCTTCGGTTTGTTGAAGATCTCGTGTCATTTTGTATATTTTTGCAGGTGGTATTGCAGCGGGATCTTCTAAAACCCCCGACTCGTAGCTGTACAATTTAAAACCAAATATTTATTTTACTTAGTTGATGATGCTATAGGTTCTATGTCGTACGAGTTTAATGGTTAAGTAACATGCATAAATGTGGTTCACACGTGGAGTGCGGGCGAACTCTGTGGGCTCATTTCATTGAACGACGAACCAATGAAAGCGAACCATATAAATTTCCTATACTCCGCATGTGGATGACGTCGATCTATGTATAAATTAACCATAAGTCCAATATCCCCCTCCCAAAATGCATTCTCTGGCAAAAATCCACAAAAAATCTCGGCATGACGCCCGATCAAATGCTCTCCTTTGTTCCTCACATCAATAAAGTCACCCAAACCGTCCGACGTTATATATTTTGTCTCAGCCCTATGCTGCGCCGACACAGTCAAATGTCCCTCCGTAATATAAGCGAACGCTTTACAAGGTTTGCATACGTCCGGTAATGACGTTCGCCTCTACATTATTCGCCCGTGCCGACCCTAAAGGCCTCTATAAATTGCAAATAGTGCAAAATCTCTTTTGCGCGGCATACGCCCCTTACTACATCCGCAATGCGGATCTACATAGGGACCTCGATCTTCCCACTATTCAACAGTGGTGCATTAAGGCCTCTGACTGCTTCTTCAAAGCGGCAGAGGTCCACTCCAATTAACAGGTGTAGGTGTAACAAAACGAAATTAACAGGTGTAGTTATAGCATCGGAAATGAAATCATCTCTTGTTATAAATTACTCGTAGATAAATTAGTACGAGTAGAAAAGATCTACTCTAGTCCTACCTTATATGCATAATATTTTCATCGGTGGACCATGGCTCTTTCGGTGTGGCTGATACTGGTATATTTTCTTTCTTAGCATATTCGATTAAATCGCTTCTACCTTGAAATCTTTCGAAGAATTCTGGTAGACGCCATGGTGCGATAACCTATAGTGAATAATGTTTGTTTGTTAGAACATTGATGTAAAGGCTTATTTATTTAACTAATAGGAAATGATAACAATTAAATATGACACTGGTTCAGGACTATAAATTATGAAATAAACTGAGCGAAACACTGGATTCTGGCGAAATCCACAAGGGCAACGCCAGTTATTAAAAAGAAGAAGACGGGTGCGAACATACAACTATGAAAACGGGGGAGCGTGTAGCACGATATAGGTACGTATATTCATTGTGGGATAGGTTTACATAAAATTTACCTTGCCTTCCGGCCACAGGGAGTACACGCTTAATTCAAAACGAACTTGATCATTCCCTTTGCCAGTGGCTCCGTGCGAAATATACCTGCAATTAAAGCAGTCACTATCACTATTAATGTTTCAGTGAAACACCTAAACATAAATAAAATCGTTTATTACACGACAGTCCAAAAAAGGAGTGTAAAGTATTTAGGGTAACTGTATGTATGTAATATGTATGAGTTTCTTTATTCCACCAAAACTTTTGTAAGACTTAACGGATATAAATGTATAGAGTATCATTTCGCATATAATACGCATAATGTTGTAATAAAATGTTTCTGGCATTTGTATCTGGCTGGTTTCGGTATTATAAAAAGTAAAAAAAAAAAAAATAACTCCGAATTCATATTAGGAAAATTTGTGATTTTCATTTGTTTTTCTTACTGTCAAAATGAGTGAATCTAATGATTCGATACAATTTAAATTTTTATTACAAAAAAGGTAAAATAGCCACGCAAGCCTCAAAAAAAAATTGTGACGTTTATGAACCTAGTGCTGCTTCTGTGAGAGTAGCATAAATTTGGTTTTAGCGTCTTCGCCGGAAATTTTGACGTCAAAGATGCACGTCGCTCCGGTCGCCTTGTTACGGATAAAATGGATGCCATTTTTGAAGAAGTGGAGCAATATCTGCATATCAGTAGTTAAGACGTAGCTGAAGTTCTAGGGATTGACTACAAAATATTATTGGCGCATTTGAAAAAACTGGGTACACTTTTGGAGTACCTCACGAGCTCCCTGAAAAAAACCTAATGCACCGTGTTCTTATTCGTGATTCTTTATTACGACGTAATGAAACTGAACCATTTTTGAAGAAGCTGATAACTGGTGATGAAAAGTGAATCACGCACGACAAGAACATGCGAAAAATGTAGTCGTAGTCGGCCAGAACTCTTACTCTTTCTTCGGCTAGGCTTGTACCAAAACCCGGGTTAACTCGTAAGAAGGTGATACACTCAGTATCACCTTCTTACGCGGGATTGGAAGGGCATTATTCATTATGAGCTGTTACCGCCAGGCACAAATACTAAAATGTTTTTCCCCTAACCTATTGCTTTGTATACATTTACTGGTTAAGTTAAGGAACAAAATAAAAATAAATGTTTTGAAAATAAAAAAAAGACGAGTGCCAAAAATTTATGGAATTAAAAATAAATGGAATAAGTTGTATTATGACTCGGCTAAACAAAATATCATTGCAGTCGGGGGACCGTTTTGTGGAACATTTGTAATCCAAAAGATCCCCCGACTGCAATGATAATTTTGTTTAACCAAGTCATAATACAAATTGTTTAATTTGTTTTTATTTCGCTTTCGGCAGTGTGGTTTTTCGTTGAATCGGTTTAAAGTTTCACTTACTTTGCTTTTAATTTCTTTGCGGCCTTCACTATACCGACAGAGATACAGGGTCTTGCTAATGACGTGCCCAAATAATAACGACTTTCATAAACCAATCCCATCTGAACACCAGGCAGCATGTAGTTTTTTATGAACTCTTCACGTAGATCTTCTACGATAACCTGAGGTAAATGTTGAATTGTGAATTTTCATAAGACTTTAAAATTTGGTTTTTGGTAATTTTTATGTGCTTAAAGAAAAATTATTCATTCCTACGAATTTTGGAAAATGAACTTAAATAATTTTTAAAACTTACATCTTTAGCTCCTATAGAACGAGCTTTTTGTTTGGCCTTCTCGAAATCTTCATCTTGACCAATATCTGCCATATAACATACGACGTCGTAATTTTTTTGGATCAACCTGAAAATTTCAAAGGTTTTATACGAATCGTTCATCGTGCGTACAAAGTTCACTGTTTTGTTGTTACACAAGCCTTGAAGCGAGGAGTTATCACATTTAACGAAGGTGTCTTCCTAAAAAAATCAAGAATTACTTTTTTTGTCACTCGTTTAAGAGCTGTCGTCAACGGAAGTACTACTCTTGTATAATGTAGATAGAGATTCTAAGTTCCACAGTTTATCAACATTATTCATTACAACAACAACAAAAAGTCAGTCTTTATTATTTTAAATAACTCAGAAATTAATTTTTGAAATGCTGTCATCTACATTCATTCCTTACAACCGATTTCTGAATTAAGAAAAGTACAAACTCGACTGATTATTCTCAATAACTTAAGTTTTTAACGTCAAGTCTTAAGACAAAAAGTCTTAGTTTTATCCAACTACTTTCAACTATCAATAAAAATAAAAAAACTAAAACCAAAAACGGAAACCTGTTTAAGTGACGTTTAAGCACAGTTTGAGACGTTCTTAACTTTAAATTCTCAATTTAGAAACCGAGTCATACATACCATCTTTTAGTTTTTATATTTTTACTCTGGTTTTCCTCTCCCTACATTCCCGTCCACTTTCATATCGATAACCTGATTAGGTTCACAATATCATACCACGGTAATCAGTTATTGTTTTTTATTATTAATTTTTAAACTTTCTCTAAAGATCTTAATTATCAATTTTTTTCAATACATCAATCTTAAACGTATTAACATCGCATGTAAACCATCCCATCCCCTTTACTGCCATACGTTCCCATTAACACAATTAAAATCGGGCTAAATAATAATTCATAAATACCATTTCAAAATACAGCTGGTGTCTAGACCTCCAGAATAAGCAAGAATAACAAGTTCTCTAGTCATATTGAAATGAAAATACTGAGCCAGAAGAAGTTAATCAACAGACTATTACACATCTAAAGTTTCATGTATTATTATAGTCAAGATAGCGCACGGGTCACGCAAATAAAGGTGATTGACATTATTTATAGAAGATAGCAGACACATCACATGATAAAATAACACTGAAAGTAAACAATGAAACACTGATCTGTTCTGATGGTTAAATAATTTAATAAAACTTCAACAGTTCAAATACTGAATAGTTATATGTTGATACTTTTGAACGCTACATTTTACACCTCTGTCACTCACGACCTAAGTCGTAAAACTAAATGTTTTAAGACTATTACATTACGATATCTATGATAATTGCACAAATGGGTACAGATATACTTATAGTAAAATTATTACATTTATTGACTATCGTGTTCCGAATAAGTACCAATTTAGATTTCATTTATAACCGTTATATGTATTACAACTTTAAATTTAATTGTTGATGGTACACACAGCTGCACGTCAGGTTACCACAATATGTCAAATTTCTGAATATTTTTTACCTTCAATATAGTATTAAGGTTTAAAATCGAGACAATAAATTAGGACAGTTTTGTATAACCTGATGTGCGGTTGCCTGTACTGTATTTTATTAACTAGACATTATAATTATTATTCGATAAAACATAGGCTTCATATAATGATTATTTAGCAAAACGATTTAATTAAATATTAATTATATTAAGCTTTTCATAAAACTACTTCACACGATTTTCGAATAGAAGACAACTAACACCCTTCAAATACATTTAGTTAACGTTCGTAAGGCAAAAATAATCTATTATACACGAACTCGCTATTAATAGTAAAATGCTCGTTTTCATTAAACTTAGGAGCCGCCCAAATTGTATCGCCTAAATATTTAGCAATCGCCCAAGGTAAAAATGCATTTCACCACCACCTAATGAAATTAAGCAAGGTTTCAAGTTCTGATATTCGTTATGCGGCGCCTTGCGCTAGGCACTTGCGTATATGACAGGTCATTAATATGTCAAGGGATAAAAGAAAAAAAAAAAGGAATTAAACTAATCTGCTTAGGCGATTCCTAGTATAAGGCATTTCCTAGTTATGCTATGCCTTGTTTTAGGTTAGCGAAAATAGGTGTTAGAGTAGAAGGTGCACTCGCTAAGATCGCCATGATAATAACTTAGTGATATAAAATTCATCTTTAAGATAATGGCTGCGAGAGTTTTCAAGGATCCGTTGATTAACACGACTTATTTCACTAGTAATTTGTTAAATTGGAATCTATTCACAATGGCGTACAGCCGAAGTCAAGTTCGCAAGAATTATATTATTTATGAGTTGTGAAATAGGCTCTAAGTATGGGTATTACAAAGTTATGGGAGTTAAATCACAAATATATAACTGGAAAATCACGGGTTTTTATTATCTATATATATAAAAATGAATCGCAAAATGTGTTGGTAAGCGCATAACTCAACAACGCCTCGACCAATTTGGCCAAATCTTTTTTTAAAATGTTCGTTGAAGTTCAAGGATGGTTTTTACGGCGAGAAAAATTAGAATTATTGCTGGAAAAACCCTAAAAATAGCCCTTTTCTTTTTCCCATACAAATGATTTGTAACTAAAACGTAGTCAATTTGAGCTTTATTGCTATGGTATAAAGTTCATATTAAATTACAAGCACTCACTGTTGTCTAAGCAATGTAGGTGTGTTCCTAACGTCAAAGATCATATCTATCAAAACAATGTGCGTGTGTGCGTTGGAGCACAGAATACATAGTTGGAGGAGTTTAATGTCGCGTTCCGAAACTCGCGTTTCTTTTGTATTAGTTTCGGCACGCGAGATAAAATGCATCAGTTTCCACGTCATTACATCAGTCAAACAAAAATCGCGTTACCAACAGTGTTTTATTATTTTTAATATCCAAATTTTAAATCAATAAAACAATTCGTACGGCTTAAAAGGATTTGACTTCAAGTCATATCAAATTAAAAAAAAAAAAAAAGTTGTCTGTGACCTAATCTACTGAGTTTGCTTTTGTCAACTGATACACGAAACAAATTCGTATATCGTGTTTTGTGCAGAGTGTTTACTTAGTTAGTGTTTGTTTAGTTCGTGATTAGTGAAAAAATAATTTATATTTGAAAAAAACTGCCACATTACAAATCTTTTTGACAGGACGAAGTCTGTCGGGTCAGCTAGTTTTAAATATAATACTTTATTATTAGTGATTATTAAATACAATATCGGAATGTAAAAACTTTTAGTATATTTAATCCATACAAGTATTATAATTGGATGAGAGTTCTATTTGATTAAGGTCGTGGAGTCGGTAATTTCAAAAAGCTTTTACCTTTGTTTACAACTTTTAAACTATATATAGGTAAATCGATATTATTCTTAAAATAATAGACGGGATCTACAGCCACTCGCACAAGGTTCATTAAAAGCTTCATTAGCTTAAAGCGACATAACCCATATAAATTTGAAAATCATTAGAGATTAAAGGCGTTATTAAACCTTAATGGATGTTTGTGCAACTGGCCGTTAGGTATTTAAAATAAAGTAATCCAATAAGCTGACTGTTTTAGGATATTACAGTAGTACATCAATAGAGTACTAGCAGCGAATTATATACGCAGCGACTCTTAGAGTTATGACAGATTTTTTGATTAATGTATGTGAAATCGTGATGAGTGATTCAAAAGAAAAATAAAAACTAAAAAGGGGCGCAACCTTGACGCACTTATATATGGAATTATTTTTATTGACTCTTGAAAATTCTAAACGCCACGTACAAGGTCTTTAATGACCAATGACCAATTATAAAACTAGCGATTTGGAAACTACAATTTCTAGTTTTTTATTTAAGTCCTATGCATTATTATTTAATTTCATGAAGTAATTTGCGGCACCTTAGACCGTGCGGCGCGAGAGAAAAATTACACGATAACACAGTTTGCATACTTTGATTTATTTTGTTAAGATCTATTATTTGGCGTTAATTATAACGAAATGGAAGCAAATGTACACATATTTATTAAGCAAAGTTTGAAGAAGATAATTTTTATATGAGTAATAAATATACTTATCAATAGACAAATTGTTGTCTTTCCTCACGAGATCACGAGATTTTATTAATATTGATAGTCAGTATGTTGATTAAAAATGGTGCATTTAAATAGTTTTTACTTAAAATGAATTAAAAATACCAATCTTAAAACTAAACATGAAACTTTACAATTTACTAACAATAATTATACAAATTTAATACTTTAACAAAAAATAATATACACATCTAAAATTATTTCAAAATGTTAACAATATACACTCAAACTTTAGTTAAATCAACAAACAATTATTAATACCGTTTTTTGTTTATAATAAGTCCATGAAAAACCACGAGTTACTATGTAACATAAATTTGTATATGATTTGATCTGTTATAGACTACACCGATTACTGCAATGTCAGTACAATATTAATTTTAAACAAAAACGAACAGCGACTTTGAAGAATCTAATTCGTACTTTTATAATTTTATAAAGATTAAACCGTTTTATTATATAACAAATGACTAAACTTTCTGCTACTAGGTTGGTAAAGAATTAAATTAAATGTTTAGGCGGTGAGAGAGCTCAAGTCTGAAAGGAAGGTGTCTGGTGTGAGAATGTGTGAAGAGCCGATGATCACCTCCCAATTTTTGACAGCAGCTGTCACCTCGTACGCGCACCGGATTTCCGAGAAGCAGACGCCTGCGCACAATGTAACATGTTATTATTTATTACTAGTTTTTTTATTATTTACTGTATTCAAAAGAAAATGATACAAAATTAAATTCTTGCAAAAATTGTAACAAACCACTGGGCTTTATGTACAGTGTCAAACATGTTTGCATCAGTAATCTTAAAATTTACATGCGTATTACTTACATAGTTTTAGAAATTACAGGTAAATTGTTATGATGTTATCTTGACTTTTTATATATAAACCTCGAGTTTTTATATCTATGAGAATGTTTAAATGCATGGAATACCGCTTGAAAATTTCCAAAATCTTCACAGAACTAGATATCCAACATCGCAAACATTTGATCCACAAGTTTTAATATGATTTTATATTAGAAGTTTTTGAATTTTGTTACGTAATAGAATATTGTTTATCCAATTAATGCAAAAGTAAAAATATTATATGTAATTTAATAATTAATAACATTAATTGTTGCCATATAACTTTATAAGCACAACTGTATAAAAAAATGTATGTAAATTATAATATATAAAATTTGTATAACTCTTAAGTAAATATAAAGGGTAAAATTGAAGATCTCACCTCCAACGACAAACACGATGAGACGTGGTACGTTTTTAATAGTTTGCTGAGCTTTGTCTTTATGCCAATGTCCATATCGAACGCTGCAACAAAATCATTTATAATAAAGAGAAACACGGCATGTATACATTATATGTGCATATTAATCTGGGTTTCAAAGGTGAGCTGAATATCAAACAACCTATTTGTTAAATCTTTAGTTTTTATTATGTACTTACCTAGTTGGCGCTTGGTATCCTGAAGTCTGCGCTCGTCCAGCAAGGAAGGGGAAGTGTCTTTGGTCCAATTTATCATCAATAGCGTCTTCCATGATATCCTTAAAAAATATAATATAGGTATGAAACTCATTAAAACCAAATACAAACTTGATGAAACCATTTAAAACTTGTTTCATTTGTGGATAGTGCGCATGAAAATATAAGAGATTCTTTGAAAATAAAATAATATTTTCCTATCTCTAAATTATTATATTAAAATAAGCAAAGTAAATGATATACGAAAGAGAGAGAGAGAGAGAGATAGAACCCTACCTTTATCACCGGTGTCCATCGCGACATCTGATAAGTTTGTTCAGTGATTCTTTCTTTCCTGGGCACCTGATACTGCTTCTTGCGATTACCCTGCAAGTCAAAGATTCAATCAGTGATCCATATTAGTTATTATTTCATTTAAGAATTATTAAGGACGAAAATTGGTGTTCAATGAAATTGGATAGAAATATTTGTTTTCCTTAATTAAAAAATCAGTCATGAATATATTTATTGACCGATCGGTATGCCTCTTCTTTGGAGTGTGACGGAAATAGACCTGTTAACTTACAATTTAAGTATATTAAAACAAGACTATTTGTATTTTTTTAGCCCAAAAGAAGTTTAACAACGTTCCCATATTACATACAACTCATAAATATTAACATCACACCTGAGAGCCCATTGTGATTGTCCTACCTTCGGACGTGTTAAGATGCGACAGTGGGTATTAAAACTGCAAACAAAATTATCTGTTAGAAGTTATATTTTTTTATCTGTGACTTTACAATGTCTATATTTAATAATCAAAGTATTTTAAATAAAGTAACAAGATTTTTGTTTCTGTGGCCCAGTCGCGAACATGGCAAACATTCATAAATATTGGACCAAATATTAGATGTTCTAAGACAGCACATACATGAAGTAATGTACTATTACAATTTTTTACCGATAATCTGAACACTAATTGAAAACCACCTTGGTGTAGTGGTTCCTGTTCTCGATTACAAAGTCGTGTGTATTAACTTGTAGGTTTGTATCTGTCCAGGTGTTTTATGTGTTTTTTGAGTATCTATTTAAAACAAACTATTGTGTTCCCTGAAAGTGACGAATTAAACAGAATTACTTAAATTGGTGACTGAATGTTAATAGTTTTTAATAGAGATGAAGGTTGGAATATATCATCGATTTCAGATCCAGTAATAAGTCGAATAAAATCTCAACCCAGATGCAAAACCTAAGGTTACACAGTACAGTTAGTTCTTTCTGTAAACATGAAAATTATAGGGAGTAATCACTTTCTTGTCAGAGCTTGTTTCATCAGTTCTTCCCCGACCAGACCGCCATATTGTGAACTGATATTATTATTAGCAATTAATATTACTATGTTTAATTCTAATTACATTTAATTTTAGAATTATTTATATAAATTCCTAGATAGTGAGACAACCATCATTACCTCGATGGTCATTATCATCATCATCAGCCCTTTTACGTCCCCACTGCTGGGGCTCAGGCCTTCCTTATGGATGGTTAAAGAGGATCCAAGCTGGCCCAATGCGGATTGGAGGGTACCTTTACCTTGATAGTACTGAAAGATTATTCCGCTACTAACTGCTTTCTTAACATTGCAATGTTAAATTCTTAAATTATAATGTGTGCAAAATAATGAAAAACCTAAGGATGTCATTACATAAAAAGATAATTAATGTTTAATTCTAATTAGATTTCATATGAGAATAAAAAAAAAATTAAGACTTAAGAAAGATTAAGGTAGCTAAGTATATTCTTAATTATAAAAAATATAATATTAAATTAAATTATACCGAGTGCAAAGATAATAACATTTAAAATTGAACTGTTATTTAAATTGAAAACTTTCAATCTCCCTCAATTATCAACGTATATAATTACACTTAAATTTTACTACGAAAAATAAAATTGACAATGCAACTCCATACTTACCTATAGTCTATTCATCTTCCTCTGAGACAAAATGTAAACAAACTGGAAAAAGGTTCTTTAATATGTCAAAATATAAATGCATTTAGAATTAATGAAAAAAGAAAGTGACATTAAAAACACCTAAAATTGAAGCTGTTCCCAAACATTGGACGTATTATAATACGACTAAATTGAGGAATAGTGATAAGACAAATACTTTACGTAGAAACGTGAATTTTGTAATTAGTCGGGTTATACCGGCCATTTTTACTCTTGATCAACTCGTTGACTCGTGCAAAACGCTTTCGTTAAATTTTAGTTATTTGTTTATTCCAGTTGTTAAGTTTGTTGTTTTCTGTTATTGCTAAGTTTCAAGTTAAATGAAATAAAATCTTTTTTAACCGATGCTCTAAAAAGGGTAACAGTATGAACTGTGCTAAAGTGCATTGACAATGTCATAAAAGAAGAACAAAACAACCAAATCATCTATGATACAATCAATTTTTAAAAATTTAAAAATTGATGGTATCATAGATGATTTGGTTGACCGTTTTGTGATAGAAGTTGGTGCGACTAGTTCCTCAGAGGAAGACGGGGAAGATTCTGAATAAAATTATGTGACTCTTACAATTGCTATTTGAAAAAGAATTATTGTATTGCATACCTATCATACAATAATTTGTCCCATTAACAAATTTTATTTACATACCAACATCAATAAAAAAGTTTGAGAAACATTGGTTTGTTTGTTTACATTTTGTCTCAGAGGAAGTTGAATAGACTATAGTTCCAGAGATTAGTTGTCGACAAGAGTATTATCACAGAATATACTCTGTGGTATTATGTTCCTTGGTGATCGCAGTGTATATTTGGGTATTGTTTTAGGGTATGTTCCGATATACACTGCGACCACTGAACAGTATGACGTCAATTTAATATACTGGAAGCCCGTTCCTTTATAGCTAGTTATACTGGTGACTTTTTAAAACGGAACGCAGTCCAGTATACTGTTAATCCTATTTTTGGCGCCATTTTCAAATTTGTTAATGCAAGGTGAATATAAAAATAAAGATTCCCTCTTTTCAAAAGAAAATTGGAAAATTGTATAAAAAAATTATTTATCAATTAAATCCATCTTATAAATAAACGTAAGTTTTTTTTTTGTTTATTTAGAAACTTATCATTTTCTGATTCTGTTTCGACTGATCACGTGATCAAAAGCACTGCGAGCACCTTACCTCGAAATCTCCAGTGCTCACAGTACAAATATGACGGCAATTTATGACGTCATAAATTTCCCTAGAGTACTGTAGCAGTGTACTGGCAGTCCATAACGGAACGGATTTTTCAGCAGTAAGACCACTGCGCAGTGCTCGCAGTGTATATCGGAACATACCCTTAGTATGCGAGGCGTTATCTAGATGTTTTGTTGATTGAAATTCTATGTATGTCAATGTCAAATTTCAGACATCTTCCTTAGAGGACTGTGACGTCACGCGCTGTTTGCAGTCACGTGACAACGAGTATAAAATAAGTGTTTTTATATTATAAATAAAATAAGCATTGTAGTGTGATTATCGGTGATACTATATTAAATACTACCAGAAAAAATTCATTGATTTTCGTTTACTGTCTATACCCGTATTATCGAAAAATACGTTTCTTTGAAGTCGTAAGAGCATTTCGAAAATAGACGAAATTTTGTTTTTGAAGAAATAGAATAGGCTTTTGGGGCTCTACTAAAATGTAACTTACATCAACGACGACGTTAAGGCCGAGATTAGCGAGGTTGAGAAGGGCCTGTTTGTCCGACGGCTCGAGCTGCGCGTGCGTCACCAACTTATTGAGATTCTCTTCGGATATGCCGTTCTTCGACATTATATATAGAGCAATGATACGCATCTTGTTGAAGTTCACCACAGACTAAATAAAAGAATAGATATTTCGATTAATAATTAACGACTCACAAATGCAGAACATTCAATAATAATAATGCAAAATGATGTCAAGTGATATTTTTAATACAATTTATTTCTTGTAATTTATTATTTGAAGTTTAAGAATTTAAATGCCAGCATATTTTGATGCCGTATTCGTACCTTTTTGTTTTAAATTTCAAATGAGGAACTATTTAAAAAAAGAAAGCACTAATAAAGCACCTCACTAGACGGCGACTCCAGCAAAGTTGATTTTTGCAGGAAACGAATGGATCAAAGATAGTCATTTCCGTTCCTTTAACTAACACATTAAAAAACTGAAATTTGCAAAGTTCGACATATACGAAAAAGTACAAATAGAATATGAGTTGTTTATTGAGTTTTGAAAATTAATTTACTTTTATACATGAAAGAAAACCGGAAGGGTTGTCGTGGAGAAATCAAGAAAGTACCGTAGCGACATCTAGTTTGATTTCCGGAACTAATGTTTTTAAAAATACTTCCTCTTTCTCATGAACTGCTGCAAACTACTAATACATTAAATACACAATATGTTACAAGAAAATGGAATTGCAGCAATAAAATTTGAACTAATTGAGTTCAAATTAACGAACATATTAAGGTTAAAAGGTCATAGATGACCTTTTGTTGCACCTAACATGCCTTTGACTATATACACAAAGAGTAACTTTAAATTGTTAATCAATTTACCTGATCGAGTAGGACAGGAACAATGCTCCTCATATGATCCTTTATCTTTTCGCCTTCTGCATCAGTACCCATGGCAAGGTCCTAGAATAATTTTAAGAATACAATAGTACATAATAAATACATTTGATTGTAAAGTGACAGTTTTTCAAATAATAATTTTTTCTCACCTGTTCAACTTTGCAGAGTTTATCGACATAGCCTTGGTAAGCTTTCATGCAGTCCTCGGCTAAACGTAAGTGTGTTGCATACTTGGAGAGCTCTTTCTGATACTGTGGCATTTTTTTAATCATTTGGGAGAGATCCCTCATTGATTGTTTGTCTCCTAGAAAAACGTCAATTTAATTAAAAATTATACAAAATAAGGTACTATATAATTACATAGTAATGTTTCTTATGAATATTACCTCCTCCCATTCGTTTTGATTCAGTGAACATCTTTAGTTTTTTGGTAACAGAAGTTGATACGACGGCAATATGCTGATGCCGTAACTCGACCCACAGCTCGTCATTTTCATCCAATAATACCTCTTTCAGTTGTTGCCCTTGTGATGCTTCATATCTGTTGCGAGAAAAAAAATAATATTTAGTTAATGGCGGCCATTGCCTGATTAAGCCAGAGCGGGAACTATAGCAAATCTCCCGCTCCCCCCGCCTCCGTTTGCTACAGATTAATTAAGTATATAATTGAAATAAAACAAAATTTTTACAAATACTGTTTTATGGATTTGTAAGAAATCATTTTAAAAGTAATTGCCATTACAACTGTTTAAGACTAAAATCAACTTACTATGTGAGTACATTGACATTTATGGTATATGGCTTTTCAAAAAATTATGCGCATTCACGCAATCATCTAATATATCATTCGTGAAGTCGACGACGACGAAGAAGACGACGATAATCGGAATCAGTAACCAACTCTGCAAACGAAACAGAGAAATCGTCCCCCTAAAAATGCGGGGCACCCAAATACGCGGGGCCAGTAACATTTGCTACTTTTGCTTCGTGGCTAATCCGACACTGATGGCGGCCAAACATCACGTTCCTAAACTGCGTTTTGTTATATTTTTAGAGAGAAATAGGTGATACGCGTCGACAGCGGCGGACTAACCTCATCGGAGACCCGGCTCGCCACCTTTTTTGATATTGCATTTACCATTTGCGCACAGCGCACACACATTTTTAACTTGACTATATTTATGCGCGATATGATTTCGGCGGATTTTGCAGACATTTGGAAGCCCCCCCGGGACCGGAGGCCAAGGGCGGAACGCCCCCTCCGCCCCCCCTCTCAGTCCACCATTATGCGTCGGATAGAAATTTTAACACTTACAGTTCGCTATCTTATGACGTCATAAGAGGTTTTTTCAATCTTTCTGCATGTGATTTTTGTTTGTTCGAAGTACGTACACGATAAAACAACAGTCCTCGCTTCTATTACGAATTTAACACCTCGATAGTCGTCGTAAATAACGACTCAAATTTACACATTTGTATCATGAAGATGATATTTTTTTTGTATATTAAATATATGACGCATAGTGCTGCCCTCTCGCGATGCTGTAGTGGTGTCGTCCACTAAAGCATCGCGAGAGGGCAGAAATATGAACATTTAAATAGAAAATATGAATAATTCAATTTTACTTCATCATCATCAGCCCTTTTACGTCCCCACTGCAGGGGCTCAGGCCTTCCTTATGGATGGTTAAGGAGGATGGGCCATGACCCTCCACACGGGCCCAATGCGGATTGGAGGGTATTAACGACTGCAAATGTAGCCGGGACCCACGGTTTAACGTGCCTTCCGAAGCACGGAGTAGCTCGAGATAATAATTTTTTTGATCACCCATCCCGTGAACGACTCCTGAGGAAAGTTGCTTAACGACAACGATCGCGGGCCGCGGCGCTTAACCACTACACCACCGAGCTACTTACTTATAGACATCGTTTTCAATGGGCAGGAGATCGTATGCCATAGCTTGAAGCGTGAGTTCGTGTAGGAGCGGCGACACACAGTCGAAGCCACGGTCTATTACTAGTAGTTGGGAGCGTGCTTTCTCTGGACCTTCACCCATGGTTGGTTCATCAGCCTGTTGGAAAAAAAATCAAACGTTATATAAGTCTGTTTACCAGTTTTTAATCACCGAATGAGATCATACAAAATGTAGGACTTTTAAAAAATATTTATTTTATTTCTCTCATGCGGATGCTTGCGCCTTTTTAAAGCAAAAATAAGACATATCTTCAGAAATGTTAGTAGATAACTAACTTGGCGACCCGTACATTAATGAAATTAAAAACTTAACAGGACAAGGCAGAGGTGAAGAACAAAGCAAAATGGGCAATTTACTATGAGAGTTCGGCTATTTTTGCGTGAAACTAACCGTAGACGACAGAGAATTATTTCTAGAATGAGTAGGAAAAAATATAATTTTAAATTTATGCCGGAATAGGAGAATATCTGAATATTTAAAAAGGACTTTGAGGTTATTTCGTTATAAAATCTATGTATATAAGAGAAATAAAATTAATTATGTATTTCAAATAATTTATGACTAATAGATAGAAATATTTAACTTAAATATTTAAATTTTAAAATAGTATTTATATAGAATAAATTTTAATTAAAGAGAAGATTGTTGATAAATAAATGCGTAGTGCGCAATTTTGCGTAATTTTAGCCGATTTCTGCCTATACTCCTTTATATAAGTTATTTATTCAAAGGTACACACAACAGATCACAATCGAATAAAGTAAGAAAAAAAACATATATGTATAAAGATATTACATCCCACAAGTGCGCGTACACATTACAATAAATAAGGGTAAATATCTAACTTACGAGTATATTGGTTAAAAAATTATCATCATCATTATACGCTCTTTATACGTCGTCATTGCTGGGGCTCAGGCCTTCCTTATGGATGGTGAATTAGGATGGACCATAACCCTATACGCTGGCTTAATGCGGATTAGAGGGTATTAACGACTGCAAATGCAACGGGGATCCACGGCTTAGCGTGCCTTCTGAAGCAAGGAGTAGCACGAGAATTTTTTTTTGGTCACTCATCCCGTCGCCGACCCTTACGAAAGTTGCTTAGCAACAACAATAGCAGGCGACGGCGCTTATCCACTATACTACCGAGCTAATGGTTAACAAATAATACATATAAATAAATCATATTTATGATGGTGTTTATTTGCTTCTTACCTTGTAGGCATCCAGTTTTTGTTGGATAAGTTGCGCAAGCTCAACATTGCGCTCCCAATCACTGCAAAAATCAATATTTCGGTTTCAATAATTTAATGATTTTGTTATTTTATTTTAATTAAATACATATTTTTTGTGTTATACTTAGATTAATAAGATCTGTGTACCTTCGGTATCGTACTGAAGGGTATTCTCCTAGTGTGGCACACAGTGTAGCAATCTGCTCAGCTATACGCTCCATGTTAGCATTGCGGGTTTGCGCTAACGCAGGATTGTACATGCACTGGAAGGTCTCAGGGGAGTCCAGAGAGAATACCTAACATGTATAACAGCAATAATTATTAGTTTTGATAAATTTTCAATACAAAACAATCTTAATATGCACATTCATGGTAACAAATATGGTAACCCTAATAGTAAGATTTTTATGGAAAAAAATAAACATTTTTCTTCTCTAAAGAACAATTTTTGTTTTCCAGTAGTTACTGGCAAAGCTCGAAAGCTCACACATAGTAATGTGTGAGCTTTCCAACTTTGCTACGAAATATAAATACTCATGAATAATTTAAGTCTCATTTTTTAAAGATTTTTCCATTTCAGCTGTCTCAGAGACATGTAGTAAATAAATAGAAATTTTGAAAATAAACCTCATCAAAATACTGAAATAATGCTAGATACAAATTATCCAATTTGATAGTCACCTGGCTCTCGTAAGGCAAAAATGCAATGTTGATTTCCTTCAATGTTTTAATTTTTCTTGCAGCCGTAGATTTGCATAATTCATTGAACAATTCCTCAGGACACACTAAGGCAGCGTGTGAAAAAAATTGAACTTATGAGTAAAGGACAAAATGTAAAATGAAACAGACCTGTCCCTCATATGGTATGAAGGCTATGTTGATTTCCTTTAATGTTTTGATGTACTTAGAAACTCGACTATGTGATAACTCATCAAAAAGTACATCTGGACATGCTGTAAATTAAATAAATGGTATAAAATAAAAGATATAGATAGAAAATGATAAATTAATAATAATAATATACATAATTTATGCCCTAAGGGAATATGAATTAAGTAATTATTAAAACAGGCAGTGCAATAACAATTTTTCAATAAAAAAAATCATACCTTACTTTCACTTCCCATTTTTGATCAATTTGTTGAAAGAATTACTATTACAAGAGTTTAGGAAAAATGACAGTAAAGTGTAAAAGAGTGGCAATGAAACACTATATCAAAGTAGCTAACACTATATCAAAGTAATAAATATCTTAGCTCTTATTATAAACATTGAGAAAGTGTAAGCAACTGTTGTAATGAATTTATTGCTTAAAGTTCTAATTAATATACAAATAACTAACACAGCATTCAAAATATAAGCAAAAGTTAGCATGAAGTTTCTTACCCTCAGTAAAGAAGACATGAGCGGCTTTGTACATAATGCGATTGCCAACAGAGAAGTCATTAATCAGGGCATGGACTGATTTTTCACAAGGTGTTATCAGATAAATACCATCCATTGTACACAATGGTTCTCTCTTCTTGTGTATGTCTTCTACCACTGTATAAATAAAAAATTCAAATGTTCAATATTGTTTGAAATTAAAATGTATAATAAAGTAATGTTTGTATTATATAAACCTATAATTTTATTGAAAAAGTTTAGCATTCACTTCTTCACATTACTTTCAGTAAGTTGCACAAGCGGCCATTAAGGATTAATGACGCCTTTAAGCTCTAATGGACGTCAAATTTGTTTGGGTAATGCCACTTTAAACTAATGACAATATTAAAGGATGTTTGTGCGACTGGCTATTTATCTGTTTAATTTTGAAAGCTCAGGTCTATTCTAATTAAAATAGATTTAGCTGTTTACAATCTACATACTTCAAAATTTCTACATATTTAAATATAACATATTAAATAAAATTATTTTTACATATTTTAATGTTTTTTTTAATAAAAAGGTGTTATATACATACAAGTGATGCCTTCTGCTGAGATATCATGCATCTTACAGCATGCTGACACCATTCTCATGGAGAGCTGGTCAACTATAAGGATTCTCCATTCTATACGTTGAGATTCTTTTCCTTTGGGTCCGCGATAGCGGATAACTTCATTCATAATCTCTGTAAGGAAAATTAGTAAATAATATTTCTATACACAGAAGGATTTGAGTTAAAAAATATAATATTGAAATATTTTTAATTATTGTCTGTAAGTCTGTCTGATGTGTGTAACAGAAAAATGGTATCCACATTTTCAGATTTGTAATATGAATATAAGATAGTGAGAAAAGAGGATATGAGCTGTTTCTATTATCTGAAGAGGCATGTAAACCACAGAATTCCATTGTTGCTTATAATCCCATGCATTAATTTTTTTTTAATTAAGCAGTTGGGTTTTATATAAATTTTAGGCTGCCAATTTGTTGGAACCAGTGACAAAGGAGAATACCTTCAACCTATGAAGGTTGGTTGGTATGACAAAGGTTTGTATTAACAAGCCTTTGTCATGGGTGGCTCAATTGCTTTGTAACATCAAAAGGTCTGTTTTCTTTTTGGAAAGAATATGATTATATGTATAAAATGGAATAAGATAGAATCTAACTGAATACACTTTTACTATGCTTGGTGACGTTATTAGTCCCTCACCCTCCTACAACAACGAGTGACATAAGAAAATCAATATATGTATAAAATGACCTCACAACTTTTCGAGAAATATAACAATCTAAATATAATAGGATTACTATTATAAGATTATAGCTTCGTAATAAGTGATTAACTAGTTAGTAAAGTTATAGCAAATAGTTATAGAAATAAGTTTATTCAGTGTACTTGGCCACTCAAGTTATAAGTTTGTTTACATCTCCACAGAAATATATGAAAGGAATTCTAAGTAATATGTATTTAAATTTACCAAAATAATATGACTTAATAGTTTACAGTAAAAAAAAAACCGAAAGAAACGGACAATAACTGATTACATTAGTCACCGATAAGAGATCATTCGATAGGCGTATTGAATGTTTGGAGAATTATATAGATTTCCTGACGAAGAGGCTTTATAAGTGTAAAAAGGAATTTTGTTTTCAATAATCCTGCAATATTCCTTTGCTAGAGACAGAATTACAATAACAAATCTATTTTTATTTTACTCACTTTGCCCAACGAGTGCCTTGAGAGCCATTTTGAACCACAAACTAAACCACAGACCAAAAATGTCTTGGACTATATCGTGCTAGCACAGACCAAGATGGAGTATTCTGCTAAGAAGATGAGCACATTGCGAAAATAGTCCACATCCAGCCAAATAGAGTTGTAAAACTATTATAAACTACGCATGACAGGTAGTTGTCGTAATTATTATTTGAATTATAGTATTAAAAATATATATTCATTATTATTTACCATATAAAACATTTATTTTATAAAACATTTATTTTATAAAACATTTATGTCAATTGCTTTCCAGTTTTTATCGCTATAAAGTTGTTGGTTTTAACTTTAAACAAAATCAGTTTCATAGAATTAATACTTTAATTCATGGTTAGTGCGAACAAATTTACAGTGTAGTCGTAATATTTAGCCTTATAATATATCGATTTACATACAATATGCACAAGCACTATCAATTTTTTATTTTTTATTTCAGTTTGAATAAATGTATGGTGAACGTTATAATTAACACTGTAATTAAATTTTGTTATGTTTATTATCGCATCTAAAAGACCAATAGAGATATAATTTGAATGAAATAAATGTAGTAAAAGAATCAGAAATATGTCATCATAAGGTCAATTGTTACATCTTATTTTGCGTGTGTGATTCGGATACAAAGACATAATGCATGCAGTATTAAAACAACAAAACACAAACTCACTGAGCCCAATATGAAGAAAATCATGGCAAAGAAAGAGTAAAGGGAAATATTTATAAAGTAACCATGTCAAAATAAGACTAGGGAAGATAGTAGAAATAAACGAAGATTGAAATGAATAAAGCTAACTAAAGCTTAACAGAATTATAATTAAGTTAGCAGATATAGATATACATTTAAAGTGTTTCTTAGATACCTAAATATAAAACAAATAGTAAAGAAGCAATAGAAAAAACAGACATAAGATCTCTAAAGCTAGAATATAAGAATATAATGTATCACTAAGAAATAAGTAAGCTCAAAAAATATAAAAGGGTGTAAAGAATCATCGCTCTTGAGAAACTATTAATAGTAGAAAAGTAAAAAAATAAAACAATGTCCTCCTAAAAAGCAGGGAGAGCTAGCAAAAAAACAAATTCTGGCACCTATTAAAAACAATGACCTCAGTAAAAGCGTTAAACACTTTTTCGGAGTTATTTAATTCATTTTGAAATTATTTGAAAATCTTTATCTCTAAAATTTCTTTTATGAAAGTTTACCTTCACCGTATAAAGTTGGAATCAATTAACATAGTTTTAGTTTTTTGGACCCGTTTTTGCGTAAATATAAACCGGATATTTACAATGCTGAATACCATTTGTCTATGGTCATTCAAAACCCGCGAGTATGCAATTTCAAAAAAGTTTCTGTTTTCTTTTTCTAATATTATAGGATTAAATATAAAAAAAGTTACTGGTTGAACTTAAAGTTATGAGGAGATTTTTAATATTTTACAAAAGAACGTAACAGTATGTAAAGAAAAGCGCATATTTCATTTCATTTAATTTAAACATTACATTATTTACTACAAAAATATGCGCGCGCATTTGATTCCATGAATGATAAGGAGGCGGGTCAATAAAGGAATGATAGAGAAGAAACATATTGCGATTCCGTTCTGTGAGTCGAAGCGTGCGTGATATCATTAAATTAGAATAGGACAGCTAGCTATTTATTCAGTGTTTTTTATGACAGTGTTAGCTATGGGTGTGTAATTTGTTAGGAAGTGATTTTGTGTATTATTCACGTACGTACATTTCTAGTGGCAAGTATATACGTATATTTTTATTGTAGATTTGGTAAATCATATAAAATACCAAATGGGATATTGAAACTAAACATTTATGTTATATTAATTAATTTTATATAATAACTACCTACATAATATAATCAATTTTAGATTTATTTGTGTAATTATTGAATTAAAAAAAATGGATAAATGTTTTAGGTCTTTTATTACCTTTGTTTCATACAGTCACTATTTTTTTTTCTCTATTTTCTATATATGAATATAAAAAATATAGAATATGGAATAACTATAACTATGTTTTACTGCTAAGAATCGTTAGAACACAGTGAAACTTTTCTTTAGCAACAGCTATTACACATTAATATGATGAAAAATTATATTACAACAAATATAAGTTTGAATAATGTGATGATAAACTATTTATAATTCTCTTGTTTGCACCTTCTCAGATATTATCTAATAACCTGATTGCATCGGCGTTTTGATTGATTAAATTTTAGTCTTTTTTTATTAGCAGTTGGTGAAAGTGAGTCGCGGCGGGAATCCGTGGCCACAGAATCGCGCGGCTCTTCGGCTATTTACTGGTGATCGCTGTTGCACCTGCAGTGCTATGTTTAGTGGCAATGTGTATGACTGAATCGACCGTGATACATCGTATAGTGTTTTCTTATGAGTAGTGCTTGTGTAAGATGAAACGTGAAGAGTTATTGGTGATACCTTACCCCTGCCGAGCGGAGGGATGGCTGGAGAGATGTGGTGAGTTTTTAAATTAAAAAAAAAAACGTAATTCGTATTGAAGTTCTATGTTTACATTATTGCATTCGCTATTTTTACCGTTACATTGGCGTGTTATTGCGTGGAACGGTTTACGTAAGTGCTCAATCAGTGACAAGCATGTGCAAGCATTTAGTAAAGGTCGCATTCTTTGCCGGACAGTCATATTAAATAAATTATGAAATAAGTTACGTATTTGTTACACTTTTTGAAATTACCTATTATAATGTTATATAAATTTTATGTCAATTGTATAAACTTTATATAAATTATAATAATTATTGAGACGGGGCGTTAAGACATTAGCAAAATTAGATATAACAAACGAGCCTATCAATGAGATAGAGACAGAGGGAGACGTATTGCGCGTCAAAAATGTTTTTTTATCTTTTGAATAAATTATCGCGATTACTGTAAAAATCCTATGTAAACAAATTTACCTCTAAAAGAGTATATAAGTGAAAATTTTGTAATTTTCTTTTATCAAGAAAATTTTCATAAATTTGTTTTTGACCTTTCGTTTTCAAATACAGCTTAAGTCATTGTTATTTCTTTGTGTACATACAAAGTTAATTGAAAATTTTCATGATTCTAGTTTACATGCCATTAAGGAGTAGGTATGTTGGATAGTAAACAAAATTATTAAAAAGTAAAAACAGGTAGAACAGAATAGCAATTTCTATATTATCAGCAGGGCGATTTTGTAAAAATCCGAACCAGAATTCGAATTCAATCATGTGTCCGAATTTACGCCATTTGCCATTGTATTGATTCCATTTTTTGTATAAAAATACAAAACAAAGTTGATTTCATTAAGTTAAGAAGAAGAAGAACAAAGTTGATTGATTATACGTGTCATGTCTCAGATATTCTATTCCTATGTCATTGCGAAACTCACTTCACTTATGCCACGAACTGTTATTATCAATTCAAGATTGAGCGGATCGGGTTCGGATTCTTACAAAATCGCCGGGAAGATCTTACAGTATATTCTTGAATTTACTTAGCATTACTTATACAACTTCGGATATAATTGAATTAGATAATAATAACAGAATTAATTTGAAAATCACCTGAATTTATAATAAAACAAAACGAAAAATTCATTGTGAGGATCTTTAATTGGCTGTCTGTTGGTAAAATAACTAATAATACTAATACTCGTACATTGTAGTTAGGAATTTCAGATTTGTATTTCTTTGCAACGATCTCGATACGTTACTTAAAAGTGAGTAGTTTGTTAAATATGTTTGATAAAAAATGATTTGTTTTGTGCCCTAAATAGCTTGATTATATTCAATTGTCGAATTGCACTATATGACAAGCAGTTGTCGCCAGCATCTTCAAAATCAAAAGTTACTTGACACAGTCATCGTTCACGACTGTTAATTGTTTTACTCTTAATTGAACTCAATGGGCCAGGCGCATATCGACCATAGAGCTTGTTTAATCATATCACTTGTTTATAAAAGTTAAAAGTAGTTGGAAATATTTTGTTTCTAAAGTATTAGTAACGTTCTTTAGAGCGCGATGCTTTGATTAAACTATGCAAACCTTGGTTTTATTTATAAAATTCAGCCAGATACACTGTTTCAAATAGGTAAAAATGGCTGACAATATATGTACTTATATAATACAATTGCTAGCGTTTCATATCAAACTTTTAATTAGAAAATTTAAAAGCTGTTGAGTTACTACTTATTACTTTTAAATAACTATTTATAAATGTATATTTTCAATGCAGTTGCTCATAAAGCGCTATTTTTTTAATCCATTGTAAACACCGGAAGTGAGTCTTTAAAAACGTGTTAAATAAAAATGTACTGAAATACTTAACTGCACACGTGCTTAAAAGTATTCTATAAATTTTTTTTGGCCGAGCACCAAAGAAATTTAAAAAAAAATATATGAAAATATGTCAAACTTTAGAGGCAAAAGTATTTCAAGGAGCCTAGAACGAATATTTTCAAATAAAAATATATGACACGAAAACATGTTCAAATATCACGTTTAATTTTAACAAATAATTTTTACCTTTAATACATACTTAGTTTTATTAACCTATATATTTGTTTTATTTCCTCGCAAAAAGCATTGAAAAATGTTGTAAGTAACATGACCGTATAAAAGATTTTTCGAATTCGTGCCAATGAAAGCCCTCGCTACGCTCGTGTTTTCAATTTGGCCCTTAATTGTAAACCTTACTTTCCGCACTCGTATCTAAATAACTATTATTATAAAAAAAACAACAACCCGTATGTCCATTTTGAGGCCCCAAATTTTTCAAATATAAACTATAGGAATAAACGCGATGTAGGACTATGAAATCAAAATGTATTTATTTATTGACCACACAATAACAACAAAATAATATGATAGATGTACGGCAGGCGGCTTATTAAATAATATATGTATTTATAAAGATATAATTTTTTTTTTGAATCTGGTATATACTCAAAATATGATTAATATACTCAATTTTTTATTGTCGTTTTGGTAGATCATATACGTATACAATGCTACAGCGTAGACGGAATCC